AAGCAGCTGTGTAAGTAGTGTCAGAAGAATTACGTTTTCTCTAGTCAAACTGGAGGATAACTGTAGAAAAATATTCTTTCCGTATGCCTTTACTCTATATATAGCAGGGTGGCTTAGCGCTTCTTTTTGATTATAATAATAATAATCTATATATAGCAATTCATGACCCTTGTGGGTTTAGTGCTTTTTATTATTATAATAATAATATTATTATTATCTTCATTCACTAAAAATGGCGTGTTGCTGTTTGTTTATTTTGTACTAACTTGTACACAATACAGTGGACCCCCGCATAACGATGGCATCACATAGCGATTATTTCGCATACCGCTTACTTTAATTGCAAAAATTTTGCCTCGCATACCGCTTAAAAACCCGCTTACCGATTTTCGTCCGAGACGCTTCCAATGTGCGGCCTGAGCCACGCTCACATGTTCCGCCGGTGGCATTGTTTACCAGCCAGCCTCCGCAATAACATCCAAGCATACAATCGGAATATTTCGTATTATTACAGTGTTTTCGGTGCTGTTTCTGGAAAATAAGTGACCATGGGCCCCAAGAAAGCTTCTAGTGCCAACCCTGTGGTAAAAAGGGTGAGAACTAGTATGGAAATTAAGAAAGATTTTGAAGGGTTTGGGGCTAACCCTGAGAAGCCTATGCCAGTTGTGGAATCCATTGTGCCTACTTCAAAAATTAAGGAAATGTGTGCACAGTGGGTTGAACTGCAAACCTTTATGGATGAAAATCACCCTGACACAGCTGTTGCAAGCCGTGCTGGTGACTATTTCAATGACAATGTTGTGGCCCATTTTAGACAAATCGTAAAGGAACGGGAGGTACAGAGCTCTATGGACAGATTTGTTGTGCGACAGAGGTCCAGTGACTCTCAAGCTGGTCCTAGTGGCATTAAAAGAAGAAGGGAAGTAACCCCGGAAAAGGACTTGCTACCTCAAGTCCTAATGGAAGGAGATTCCCCTTCTAAACAGTAAGAAGATAATGCTCTCCCCTCCTCCCATCCCATCAATCATCACCAGATCTTCAATAAAAGTAAGTGTCATGTAAGTGTGCATGCCTTTTTCAGTTTGTGTGTATTAAAATTAACATTTCATGTGGTAAAAAAATTTTTTTTTCATACTTTTGGGTGTCTTGCACGGATTAATTTTATTTCCATTATTTCTTATGGGGAAAATTCATTCACATAACGATTATTTCGCATAACGATTACCCCTCTTGCACGGATTAAAATCGTTAACCGGGGGTCCACTGTATAAGAGTATTTGTATTGAGAGGTAATTATTATTATAATAAAAAATATTGAGGTAAATGTTTTACAAACTCCTACAAACGTAAGCGAATGAACTAAAAGTAGACACATATTAATACGCATTTATTTCGCCTGACCAAGTGATCGCCCACTACCTGTTCAGTTTGTGTTCTTACATTGTCTCAACTCGTATCTCATTCTCTCTCTCGTTTACTCTTTCGTTAACTAGTTGGCTCTCATTGACAATGGCGTCTAAGGTTAGCTGTGATAAAAAGAGAAGTCGTAAGCCTCTTGCTTTAGGTGCCAAGTTAGAGGATGATGGTGTGCCATTCTGATTTTATTCAATAAACATCCTGCCAGTCACCTCTCACACATTAATATTAATATTTTAAGGTAAGTAATAAATGTACTCTGTGTGTATCTTACCTTTTATTGTGTTTTTAATGCCCATTTCTATTGCTAACTCTGATGTTGGTGAGGGGCTCTTGATTTAGGGAATTGGATCTGTGCTCCAGTTCCCCGAATTGAGCCTGAATGCCTTCCACAACATCCTCCAGGCGCTGTATAATCCTACGGGTTTAGCGCTTCCCCCTTGATTATAATAATAATATTGCTAACTTAATATAAGTTAGTGTAAACTTGTTGTCTGGCATTTATTGCATATTTTATATGTGCTCTGATAATAATACTTGTGGAGCTGTGTGGTAGCCGGGTGGAGGGACAACATTACGTTTTCTCTGCTCAGCCATCAGAGAAAACGTGTATGAATCTGCGTTTGGCCCAGCCACTCCCCCACTTCGCTTTTGTTTACAATTTTCAGCATGAATTATTCATTACTTCTCCCTTCGTTTATGATGGCATCTAAAGGTAGTTGTTAAAAATGATAAAATTCAGTGAACAAGGTATGTTGATGGTAATAATATGGCTCTAGGCCACAGTGTAGGTAGCCCAGGTGGGCTACACCTACCGGCTACCTACACTGACTTCCTACAAATAAATACTCACCTCACTTCCTATATTAAGACTACACATATTTTAAGGTAAATAATGAGTGTACTGTATGTGTATTTTACCTCTCTGGGATGTTTTAAATATCGTATATTAAGTATGAGACAGGGAGCCAGGGCTACCTACACCTGGGCTACCTGCACCTGACTTCCTACAAATAAGTACTACTCGCCTCTCTCTCTACATTAAGATTACAAATACTTTAAGATAAGTAATGAATGTACTGTGAATGTATTTTACTTTGTGTGTTTTTAATGCCTAGTTCTATTACTATCTTAATGTAATTTAGTGTAAACTTGTTGTCTGGCATTTATATGCATTTATGCATAGAAAAAAATGGCGTTCTGCCTTCCGGTGATGTCTGCTTTCTGGCGACAGCCTGGAACCTAACCCGCCGTATAAGTGGGGCCCTACTGTATATATACAGTGGACTCTCAGCTAACGATGGCATCAGCTAATGTTAAATCCAGCTAACAATACATTTTAACACAAAAATTTTGCCTCGGCTAACGCTAAAAAACTCGCCCAATGCGATTCATTCGAGACGTGTCCACATGTGGCCTGAGCGCGCCTCAGTTGTCCCATGGGTGCCAGTGTTTACAAGCCAGCCAGTGAGGTCGCATCCACACATACAATCAGAACATTTCATATTATCACAGCGTTTTTAATTATTGTACCTGCAAAATAAGTCACCTTGGGCCCCAAGAAAGCTTCTAGTGCCAACCCTGTGATAAAAAAGAGAGAATTAGTATGGAAATTAAGAAAGATTTTGAAGGTTTGGGGCTAACTCTGAGACGCCTATGCCAGTTGTGGAATCCGTTGTGGCTACTTCAAAGATTAAGGAAATGTGTGCAAAGTGGGTTGAACTGCAAACCTTTATGGATGAAAATCACCCTAACAGCTATTGCAAGCCGTGCTGGTGACTATTACAATGACAATGTTGTGGCCCATTTTAGGCAAATCTTAAAGGAACGGGAGGTACAGACCTCTATAGACAGATTTGTTGTGCGACAGAGGTCCAGTGACTCTCAAGCTGGTCCTAGTGGCATTAAAAGAAGGGAAGTAACCCCGGAAAAGGACTTGATACCTCAAGTCCTAATGGAAGGGGATTCCCCTTCTAAACATTAACAACTTCCACACACTCCCCTCCTCCCATCTCATCAATCATCACCAGATCTTCAATAAAGGTAAGTGGTGACAGTTTGTGTGTATTAAAATTAATATTTCATGTGGTAAAAAATTTTTTTTTTTTCACTTTGGGGTGTCTTGCATGGATTAATTTGATTTCCATTATTTCTTATGGGGAAAATTAATTTGGCTAACAATAATTTCAGCTAACGATGAGCTTTCAGGATCGGATTAATATCGTTAGCTGAGGGTCCACTGTATATACGTGTATATTTATTTATTCATTCTAATCCCTGTTTGGTGTACTAGCCTCCACAAGCAGTACGTATTCTGCTTGTGGAGGCTAGCACACCAAACAGGGATTAGAATGAAATTAGCTCAGAGGTACCTACACCAATGTATGTCCTCGGATCATGATGCTCTAACCTGTGGGTTAGAGCATCATGTGATTTTCGCTAACCACAAGATAGGGCCAAAACGACATGGATTCGAATCCTTGGCTAATTAGTGTCATTGATATACAGTGGACCCCCGCATAACGATCACCTCCGAATACGACCAATTATTTAAGTGTATTTATGTAAGTGCGTTTGTACATGTATGTTTGGGGTCTGAAATGGACTAATCTACTTCACAATATTCCTTATGGGAACAAATTCGGTCAGTACTGGCACCTGAACATACTTATGGAGTGAAAAAATATCGTTAACCGGGGGTCCACTGTGTGTATATATATATATATATATATATATATATATATATATATATATATATATATATATAATATATATATATATATATATACAGTGGTACCCAGAGTTTTGGCCATAATTCGTTCCAGAAGGGTGTTAGAGTACCGTTAGCAAACAAATTTGTTCCCATAAGGAATAATGTAAATTAGATTAGTCTATTTCAGACCCCCCAAAAATACACTTACATAATTGTTCGAGTTGGGAGCTGTACGAAACTCGGGGTACCACTGTGTATGTATGTATGTATGTGTGTGTGTAATATATATATATATATATATATATATATATATATATATATATATATATATATATATATAATATATATATAATATATACATACATACATACATACACGTATATATAATTTTCTTTTGGCATGACATTGGAGTGCGAACAAGGTTACCTTTATGAAGGGATTCAGGGACTGAGTCTGAGGTGGGAAGTAAAGTGCTAGCACTTAAGTGGTGGTGTGGGGAACGTTGCAGTTTAGTCATATGATCTGTGATGTCTCCACACATCTGGCAAGACAGATATTGAATGAGTATTTGTCTTTTTTTTTTTTTTTGCCATGCCTCTATGGGAGATAACTGGTTAAAAAAAAAACTTGTGCAAGTTTTCTACGTGACATGGGCCTGAAATACATTGCATGTTATGTGTAGGGTCAGACAGTACTAATCATGGTCAGTCTTTAATCAGGAAGGCTGTCAAGAACATAGCCATACTTGGTTTATTGCAGGAATGATCTCAACTTCTTGCCTTATTCAAAACAATGCATATTTGTCTGGTACAGTAGTGGTGATTGTTGTTAATTTTCATTGTAATATTTAGTCATTTTTTTTTTTTTTCAGATTTTTAGAGGCTTTTGTTAACCAAGATGATGAAAATCCAGATGATGATGAAGAGGAAGAGGAGGAAGAGGAAGAGGAAGAAATGGAAGAAATCAATAACAATGGTGTCACACAAGTGTTATAAAGCAGACTCAAAATACTTTATGGGTGAGGTAGTGAGACGAAAGTTCTATCAAATAAAAAGGAAAACTTACCAAACTCTACAGTATGCAAATTTCATTAAAGAGCCTAAATATGTTGGTCGGGGCATGATAGCATTCATCAGTAAACACAATAGAACTGCCTCTGCTAGTTTAAAGAAAAAAAAAAAAAGAAAAAAGAAAATTCATTATTTCATTGTAAATTTATAGCAGTGAAGTTCTTAAATTGTGTGATGTTGCTTTCATGCCCCGACCCATTAATTAATGCTCTTAGTAGGAAATTATGAAAGTGTTATATTAAAGATTGACTATCTTTTATGAGATAAATATCAGAATTAGTTTGTAAAATATTTTTTTTATGATGCCAGCATTAATAAAATAATTATACTGTTAAAGTATAAATTATACATAGTATCACGTGCTTTACTGGAGTGACATGGATTGTGCAATATTGCTATTTTAAGAGAAAAAAAAGACTGATAAATACATTGTATTACCACAGTGTACCACTTACACACTACACTTTATCTTGCACAAATATTACAGCTTTCTTAGCAACTTCCAGTGGGCTTGTGCAGAAGCAGGGGGTTTCATAAATATATATTGCACTCTTTCAATTTCTCTGCCCATGACAGCTCACAAGATCATAAATAAAAGATATTTTTATACAGTAAGGTAAAAACCTAGAGAGATTTTCAAATTATAGGTGATGCCTCCTTGTCATAATTCATATTGAAGAAAGTTTTGTTATATTGTCTTCACAGATAAAAATAATCCTGAATGATGACAATAATCCACAAGCATCATGAATAATTAAACCACAAAAATTTCAATTGTAAAAAAAAAAAAAAAAAAAAAAAAAAGTCAAGAAAGAGTTGAAGTGGAGACATACTAAACTTTCTTGCAGATAAATAAAAATTACTATGTCCATTTTGTGAATAATTTTTAACCATTCCTTAAGCATCACAAAGCAATTGTATTTTTTTTTTAATGTTGTGAAGTGGATTAGTTTCATAAAAGATTTTTAAATGAATATGTGAAATAAGACTTGTTATTGCTTGGTGGACACAATTGTTCCCAACACAGAAATATATTTTTGCTGTATTTACAAGGTAGCACTACACCCATAGGGATTATACAGTGCATGGGGGGGGGGGTCATTCAGGTTCAATCCAAATTCTTGTATCAAAAGCCCTCATCAGCATCGAGGAACCTTCTGAAGGGGAGCAGAAATATAATGAACTCTTCTATCACAATTAATAACTGGAACTTTGAGTTCATACTAATTAATAAAGTGACATTACGAGTGTCACACTTACAGGTCATACAGTGCTGAAGTACTTATCACTTTATACATACTTTGACAGATATGCTTTACAAACATATGGGAACCATGGTGTAAATGTATTAAGGTTGTTACACCAGATTCATCTATTCAGGCCTAACACTTGTCTCCACCACAGCTCGTGTATAATTACAGAATAACTTGTCAATGCTATCTGAAACCTTGTGCCTTAGTGATATTTGTATTTTGTCTGCTCTCTTCATTGGTTGTGGTGGATATGCCTATTTGAAGTATTATGCTTTGTAGACAACACACCTGCCTTATGGTTATAGATTTAACTTTTATACATGCCTAATCATTTTCATTCATTTCATTGATATATTTTATTTCAAAGGTCACTTTACTTCTCTAATGCCATTTTATTAATATTTAAGTTTGGCTACATAAGTTTGTTATATACAGGACATGCAGTTCACTCGGTTGAAGTAGGAAAAACTTAATATGATGGCTTGAGATCTACGAGTTGAGCATATGAATATAGTATTTATCAATGTATATTAGAGAGTTGGCATTAAATCTGTTTCCTTTTATTTTCAAAATAATTGTCCATATACCTTAACCTCTGCAAAAGTAGGCGGGAACTCTGTAACAAGTGATAAAAATCCGGGAATAAGCATTTGAATACAGTGGTACCCCGTGTTTCGTACAGCTCCCAACTCGAACAATTATGTAAGTGTATTTTTGGGGATCTGAAACGGACTAATCTAATTTATATTATTTCTTATGGGAACAAATTCGTTTGGTAACGGCACTCTAACAGCCTTCTGGGACGAATTTTGTACAAAACTCGAGGTACCACTGTATTTACATTTACAATTCATTTTTAAGTGTATATAATACAGTATTTAAATGAACATGAACTTAATTTAAAAATGCCATTTTGTACGTTTATATGTATAACATAAACACATACAATGATGAGTAAAGGAATTAAAGGATCTCGTGCTTACCATGGTGGATGTTTCAATCAACTAGAATCGAAGGAAGGTGGCATAAGCTTCTAACCCTTTCAGGGTCCGTGCCGTAGTTCTATGGCTTTGAGTTGTGGGTCCAAACTGTAGAACTATGCCAAAATTCTAGCAGCCTCAAATTTAGTTCGAGAAGGCTGGTAGGCTTACATCTAAGAGAATGGGTCTGGGTGGTCAGTGTGTGAACTATAGAAAAAATCTGGACACCCACATGGCATTGTGGGAATGCTGCCAAAGTGGCTTTGTTCACCATGCCTGGCTGCAAGGAAGCTCTCACTCCCCAGGTGAATTCTGACTCCTCTTCCCAACTTATAGTTCTAAGACTGATGGAAGTGGATCTGAAGAGAAATTCTATGGCTCTAAACCATATGGTACAATGGTGCCATATCATATGGTACAATGTACAATATGGTACATTGTACCATAGGGTACAGGGATCCTAATGGAAATATGTCTGTCTGATTTTTTTTGGGTTATCCTAGGTCTCCAAACATATGCTGCTGTGTATGATAATATATAACTTTATTTGTGTATACCTAAATAAACTTGCTTACGATGCCACATGTACTTGAGTAAGTTTATTTAGGTGTACACAAATAAAGTTATAGATTATCATACATAGCATAAGAAAGAAGGAACACTGCAATAGGCCTACTGACCCATGTGAAACAGGTCCATGCCACCCCCCCTGGCCTAGAACAATGACCACATATTCAGGTCACTTCCACTTAACGAAGGAGCACAGCACCAGACCTGGTAGCCCAAGCTAGTCAGGTCCAACTTGCACCTACCCACACCTACTCGTGTATTTATCCAACCTATTTTTAAAACTACACAATGTCTTAGCGTCTATGACGGTACTTGGGAGTTTGTTCCACTCATCCACAACTCTATTACCAAACCAGCACTTTCCTATATCCTTCATGAATCTGAACTTTTCCAACTTGAAGCCATTGCTGCGAGTCCTATCTTGGCCGGATATTTTCAGCACTATTTACATTCCCTTTATTTATTCCTGTTTTCCATTTATACACCTCAATCATATCCCCCCTAATTCTACACCTTTCTAGAGAGTGCAGATTCAGGGCCCTCACTCTATCCTCATAGGGAAGATTTCTGATACATGGGATCAACTTTGTCATCCTGCTCTGTACGTTTTTCAGTGCATTTATATCCATTCTGTAATATGGTGATCAGAATTGTGCAGCATAATCTAAATGAGGCCTAACCAGGGATATATAGAGTTGAAGAACAACCTGAGGACTTCTATTATTTATACTTCTTGATATGAAGCCAAGGATTCTATTAGCTTTACTGTAAACACTTATGCACTGTTGTCTTGGTTTCAGATTACTGCTAACCAGAACTCCTAAATCCTTTTCGTAATCAGTAGTATTAAGATCTACACTATTCAGTTTATAAGTGGCATGGTTATTGTCCTGTCCAACATTTAGCACTTTGCATTTGTCTACATTAAACTGCATCAGTCTATTCAAATCATCCTGGAGTGCACTAATGTCCTCAATAGAATGAATTGGACAGCCTATTTTGGTGTCATCAGCAAATTTGCTTATCTTCTTTCTTTCAACACATTGGCCGTATCCCACCGTGGCGGGGTGGCCCAAAAGGAAAAACGAAAGTTTCTCCTTTTACATTTAGTAATATATACAGGAGAAGGGGTTACTAGCCCCTTGCTCCCGGCATTTTAGTTGCCTCTTACAACATGCATGGCGTACAGAGGAAGAATTCTGTTCCACTTCCCCATGGAGATAAGAGGAAATAAACAAGAGCAAGAACTAGAAAGAAAATAGAAGAAAACCCAGAGGGGTATGTATATATACGCTTGTACATGTATGTGTAGTGTGACCTAAGTGTAAGCAGAAGTAGCAAGACGTACCTGAAATCTTGCACATTCATGAGACAGAAAAAAGGACACCAGCAATCCTACCATCATGTAAAACAATTGCAGGCTTTCATTTTACACTCACTTGGCAGGATGGTAGTACTTCCCTGGGTGGTTGCTGTCTACCAACCTACTACCTAGGTAAATTTGCTTATGTCGCTATTTATTCCCTCGTCTATATCATTTTTGTGAACAAGGGGCCCAACACTGACCCCTATGGAACACCGCTTGTGACGTGCCCCCATTCTGATTTCTCCCCATTTATGCAAACTCTTTGCTGCCTATTTGCCAACCACGCCTCTACCCAGGAAAAAATTTCTCCTGTGTGCCTTAAGTTTCCTCAAAAGTCTCTGATGTGGAACTCTATCGAAAGCCTTACTGAAGTCCATATACACAATATCATATTCATTACCATGATCTACCTCCTCAAACACCTTAGTGAAAAAAAGCAAATTCGTAAGACAGGAACGCCCCTTAGTAAAACCATGTTGAGATTCATTTATCAATTTATGCCTATCAAGATGGCTACGAATTGCCTCGGCAATTATTGATTCCATAAATTTTCCTACTATGGAGGTAAGGCTTATTGATCTATAGTTCGAAGCTAAGGACCTGTCACCTGCCATTTTCCACTTATCAAGTACAGTGGACCCCCGCTTAACGATCACCTCCCAATGCGACCAATTATGTAAGTGCATTTGTACGTGTATGTCTGGGGGTCTGAAATGGACTAATCTACTTCACAATATTCCTTATGGGAACAAATTCGGTCAGTACTGGCACCTGAACATACTTCTGGAATGAAAAAATATCATTAACCGGGGGTCCACTGTACTACGCCAGTTTGTAGTGATAGGTTGAAAAAATTAGCCAAAGGTTTGCAAAGTTCCTCTTTACATTCCTTTAAAACCCTTGCAAACAATTCATCAGGGCCTGGGGATTTGTTAGGTTTTAATTTCTCTATTTGTCTGAGGACCATGTCACTAGTTGCTGCAATCGTGCATAGTTTATCATCCTGTTCTACATAATTATATATTTCTGGAATTTCGCTAGTATCTTCCTGAGCAAAGACTGAGAGGAAGTAAGAATTGAAAATTTCACACATATCCCTATCACTGTTAGTGATCTGACCTAAGCTACTCTTAAGTGGGCCTATCTTGTCCCTAATCTTACTTCTGTATACCTGAAAGAACCCTTTTGGGTTAGTCTTCAAATCCCTTGTGACCTTAGCCTCATAATCCCTTTTTGCTTTTCTTATTCCTTTTTTTATTTCTCTCTTTAATTGAATATATTGATTTCTTAACTGCCCTTTCCCTCTTTTGATATGCCTATATATGCCTCTCTTTTGACCTATGAAATGCTTTAATCTATTGTTCATCCATTTGGGATCATTTTTGTTAGATCTAATTTCCCTACTCGGAACAAAAGTTGACTGAGCAGCTAGAACTATGCTCTGAAAAATGTCATATTTGCAACCAACACCAGCTACCTGACCCATAGTCAGATCATCCCAATTTAGCCCACCCAGGTAATTTTTCAGTCCCAGGGCTCCTCTCTGAGAATTGTCAGGTTCCATTATCACGAGCACGCAGAATTTACCTCCGCCGTTGTCTTTGCTCCACTGCTCTCTCTTTAACTTCCCTTATCGCTGATGGACCCACCTTTCATCCGGAATCTCTCATTGACTTTTTGACAACAACCGACTTACTTCACAAACTCTGATACCTTCAGCCCTTTTTACCTCAATCTCTTGCTACCCTCTACCCCCGCACTATCCCCTGCCCTGTTTTCTGTAACCTACTGATCATCCCTTCCCCCTTCTGCCACCCAATACCCTCACTTCCTTCTCTACCCTGCAGCGCTGTATAGCCCTTGTGGCTTAGCACTTCTTTTTGATTATAATAATAATAATTCAGTCCCAGGAAATCAACCAATTGAAAGTATGGGACAGAGACTTGATTGCAGTTTACTGGGTAATTCCATAATATATTGAAACTAAGTGATTTGTGATCACTTTCCCCAAGCTCATCATTAACCTCAAGATTATTAATTAGTGAATCTTTGTTGGCAAGAACCAAGTCAAGCAGATTGTTTCCTGTGGTTGGTTCTGTCACAATCTGTTTTAAAAAGCAATCCTGAACTGTATCCAGAAAGTCACTAGACTCAAGATTTCCTGTCAAATTGTTCCAATCAATTTATCTAAAGTTAAAATCCCCCAATAACACAACATTTTCACATCTAGACGCCTTATGAATTTCATCCCATAGCAGCTTACTGCACTCCCTATCAAGGTTTGGGGGCCTATATATCACACCCAAAATTAATTTTTCATACCCCTCGAGAAACTGTAGCCAAACAGATTCTGTGTCCGATGTTTCTATTCTTATATCGTGTCTAACACAACAAGTTAAATTATCTCTGACATACATCGCCAATCCACCACCCTTCCTGTTGACCCTATCAATGTGGAATGGTTTATAACCCTTTATGCTGCATTCAGAAGGCATTTCTCTATCCTTCAAGTTGAACCAGGTCTCAGTTATAGAAATAACATCTATATTACCTGCACTCGTGAGTAATCTTAGCTCATCTATCTTATTTCTTAGACTCCTACTCTTTGTAACTAAACCTTAAGGGAGCTAGTCACTCGTTGCCCTCT